TACTTGAGTGACAGATTTATTGTCAAATGCACTTTAATGATTTCAATTTTTAGATTATACAAATATATTTTATTTTATCATTAAATACTATTGATTTTTTAATAAAATTTACTTTGACTAACTTATTTTTTATTCTAATTAAAGTCTATAAACAGCATAAAATATAAGTAATATGTATAAGATTAATATTTAAGTGAATTTATCGATGAGACTGAGACTAAATAAACAATAAAAAAAATCATAAAATTAATCATTTGTCAGGATGCTCACAAGTTTGTACAAATCGTTATTCCGACTCGCTATTTGACTTCCCGTTCAACAATGACATCCTCTCTTTTATATATATAAAAAAATATATACACACACACACACACACACACATTTGTGTATAAAATTTTTTTTTATATCATTTATTTTCTCTCGACCATTTCCTCAATGAAACTACTGTATCTTGTCTAAAAAATAAAGCTCTGAAAAAGTATAGTAGAGTATATCTCTATTCGTAAAAAGGGAAATCCCGTGTGAGGACATGATGACCCTGTAAAATCCAGGGGATGGAAATTTCCCAAAAGTAATAAAATAAAAATCTTTCTCCTGGTTTAACAACTGAACCAACTCGTGGCACCTTAAGCACGGGGTTCTTGGAGTAAATTCGCACAGCATTGACTGACAAAAGGCCACGAGCGTAACCGAACATTCGCGAGATCGTGCGAGTCAGTCTTTATGTGTGTGTAAATGTATTATTACAGCATACAACACACAGAAAGATAATACAGCAGCAGCAGCAGTAGTAGTAGTAGTAGTGTAAGTACCAGTTGGGTAGAAACGGTCGCGGTTTTGGGGATAGAAGTTACAGCACAAACTATGGCTATTAACTGAACACCACGGACCGGCCGGTCAGCTGTAAGCCGAGTCATTTGACTGTTATACAATCGTCCAGTAGCTTAAAACCCTTTACTCTTGATATGCCTGTAAAAAATTTTTAATTATATTTTTAACATTTTTATTTCTTATCTAAATTTGAATAATAATTTATAAATTGATATTTATATGGATAAAAGTACATAGATTGGAGTGTGCTCAACTTTAGTAAGCAAGGGCGATTGAGAGACTGGGTACGGAGATTGCTGGACGGAGAAGGAGTAACGGTGAATAAATTTGAAAGAGAGAGGAGAGTATTGATGTAGATAGAGACATGGGTAAAGAGAAAAGATGTTAGATGTCCTGGATACGAGGGAGATGGTTAAATTAAACTCACCCGTCTATAGATATATACTATCTTACACACGTGTGTGTGTCTTTTATTACAATCGGAGTGTATGTGAGCGAGCGAGTGGGAATTAGTGTTGGATTTAAAAGATGGCAGCTAGAGCGAGAGAAGGGAAGGTAGTGGCATAGCAGTATTGCCAGTACATTGAAAGCAGGGCCAGGGAGATCCGGCGCACCGAGTACGAATACGAGGGCGATTCGTATAAGTACGTATAACAGGAACGAGCGAATAGAGCGAGCTACCAACCAACCAACCAACCAACACCAACACTACCAAGGGGATAGATATAGGAGTTAGGAGTGAAGACGGCAGTGGGAAGCAGCACCAGCATTTGAGTTTGTGAGACAGCCAGTCCTCGTCGGTCGACATTACGACACGGATCGCCGCCACCGTGCTCGCTCACAAACGAGATTCGACTTGACGACGGGTATATCTCAACGGGTTTTTAAGACAAGAGTTTGCCGGATTATATATATTTTATTGTCAAGTCGCGTATATATATATATAAATGTATATATGCTTTTTAACTCACTTATGCATTGACATTTTGTCTGGTATCGGGTTTAAAAGAAGACTATTAAAAAATATATATATATATTAAAAATATTGAATAGTTATTCATATTGATTGATTTTTATCAATACTAATTATTTAAAATAGTTGGAGTAATAATTGTAATGTAATAAATAACTATTTCGAGGTGGATTTCTTGAAGAAAATAGCAAAAAGGAGTACTGATTAAAGAAAAGTTACTGGTTGGCTTTTATCGACACACATAATATTTGATTATTTAATATAGTAATTATTGTTATTACTATAATATTTTATCAATAAGGAGTAAAACTAAAATAAAGGACAAGAGACCGGCAGGCTGATCTCAGAATTAAACAACAAGGCATAAGCTGACATCACACATTATCGTGACGACGTGCTTACAAATGAGAGACCAGAAGATAAAATAAAGTAAGAAACGCGGTTGACAGTCAGTGTAAGCGTTTTTAAATTGTAATTGTTATTATTTAATATTTTTTATCTCTATCTGTTACTATGTATGTATGTGTAGATAGAGTTAAGAGCCGGCAAGTTAACAGCCGCTGTAAATGAGAGGAAAAGTGTTTTATACAAACGTGCGACAGGTTCGTGAATTCACGGTTGTCAGGTGGATTAAACACCTATTAAGTGGACTTTTTTTTTTACTTATAAATAATAAATTAAAACTTAATAAGTACTATTCAAAGTTTGAACAATGAATTTTATAATTTTTTACAGAAAATACGAGAGAAGATAGGAGCGTGCGCGAATAACCCAGTACAGTGATTAAGGAGGAGATGTGATATATTTAAACTTTCATTTCTCAGGTATACATTCGCGGATTTTTTTAATAAAAATGCCGGTGGAAGATTTTATTGAGTGACAAACGTTTTAATTTATTATTTTAAATAAATAATACTCACTGACTGGTTATTGTGAACTGATGGTTAAAAATTTCATTTCAAGATTAATTAATTTATGTTGCACTTGTAAGTAGTATGTGTATGGTTAATGGATGACGATATTTATTATCCGTGGTGAAGTAGAAAAAAATCAACGTACGTCAGTGGAGGTAGACCCGCCGGGGCTGTGCAAGAATAAAAGAAGAAATAAGTGTTATGCATTATAGAGTTCCTCAACTGATCTAGTGTCAGTAGATGCACCCACATTGTATCAGTGTGGAGTGATTTTTCTTACAATAGTCCGCTGATGATTCTTAGTCGGGCTGACTACTACTGTCTATGTCTGTATTATATCTGCTCCGCTCTTACCGACCGGTTGCTTGCTTGCTTGCTTGCTGGTTGGCTTATCGTGATCTACTGATAACTCACGAGATCCTTCCACTAGTTCACTCCTTTTTTGGTTAAAAATAAAATATTCATAATTATCACCAGGATTATTTATGTTAAAGTTTTGGATTTGGATGAAAATTATTTTTAGAATATCAAGTGAACTGTGCTGAATAACCTTCAAGTCCAACTTTAATCTCAGATAAAAAAAAGTGCAAAAAAAAAAAAAAAATGAGTGAATCGTCTTAACGATCACAGAGAAGAGTCAGTGCTTGAGAGAGTAGAGTTGGCAAACTCAGTGCTTGTGGCTGTTGTATGTTAAAGTTTTTTTATTTTTTTCAAACTCTGGTATAAGCTGTCCTCGTCTAGTGACTCGTGGTGGACGAGACTGTTTCGCCGGGAGCTATTGCGACATAAAGGCTTGCCTGTGAATTTTAGTTGGGGGAAAAAAAAAAAAAAAAAATAGAGATAGCGAGTACCTAACGGTGAGGAGCGAAAAAGAGAATAAGAATAAAGAAAAATAAAATAAAATAAAAAAAAAAAAATTTTATATATATATATTAACGAGTTTGGAGTGGGATAAAGGCCAGGCTACGGTGGGCTTACAGCAATGACCTTCGAGAGTACGAGGCCGTTAAAATCATTGGGTTTCCGCGTGGAACACAAGATTAGGACGATAGTCAACAGAATAAGCATTAGATTGAACGATTCATAGTTGATGTGAGGCCTCGTCCAACAAACATATCTCCATTGTAGAGATAAATATAATATATATATATATATATGTATATGTATGTATGTATATATATATATATTATATACAATACATATTATTAGCTGAAAAGGTGTCTAAGCCGGTAATGATTCAGTTAAATTTTTGAATTTAATTTATTTATGTTGGACATATTGTTTAGTTTTGTTGAAATAAAAATAATTGTTTGGAGAAGAAAATTAGTCGGCAAAGGTGGAAGGTGGACTTGGACTGGGAGTGACGGTTGCACCTCTGAGAAGGCACCTCGTACCTCGAATAATCCTTTGGTACCTCGTGGTATGAACGGAGAAGAAGAGATTCCTTAGGCATATCATCTTGATCGAAACCGTTCCTTGCCAACCTCTATGGAATACTGCGCCGAAGAATAGTATGTACCCGCCTTTTAAAAACCGGTTTCGTTCAGCTTCGTGAAACTCGCGTTTACATTGGTCGCTTTGTGGGAAGAAGCATGAGTTTTAAAATAATAATAATAATGATAATGACGATGATGATGATGATAAAAAAATAATATTTAAAAAAAACTGAATTTACGCAAGGACACACTCAACAGACTCTCTTGTTAATGTTAATAGCAATCGAGAACGAAGAATAGCGGATGAGGAACACACTTTTGTGCCGAATAAAGTCGACACACCAGTACTGATAATAATAATAATAATAATAATAATAATAATAATAATAATAATAATAATATCCTCATCAATAAAGAGAAATAAATTGAAAGAGGGAGAAAGGGAACGGGTAATTTTTTTTATTCTCATCATCGAGAAGATTGTAAAAAGTTTGGAATTTTTTTAGCATTGAAAGTGATTTGATTGAGTGTCGACGTGTGTCTCTTGGAGGTTGTCTATTGAGTTGCCTTCTGGTGGATGCCTGTATACGTGATAGAATTCACCATATGCCAAATAAAAAAAAATAATATATAAATAAATATAATATATATATATATATAAATAAATAAATAAATAGTGATAAACGCGATGACAATGGAGCTAAATTGTTCAAGTGAAGCTCAAGATTTATTTGGAGGTGGTCAACGCAGTGTCGATCGTTGCAAAACTTAATATATATATATATACATGTATATATAATAGTTTTATAAAGTATCTAATGATCAGTTATATTGTCTTGTTTAGTGATGAAGCAGACGGCGAATTCGCCTACAACTGCCCAAGTGCAGTCATTAGTTTTAATCGGAAGAATAAGACAAGATCTCTATCGGCGTTCAGCTGAATCTGATCCAATTATTGTCGAGGATCACAACTCTTGTTCAACTAGGTCATTAATATCATCATCGGAGATTAAGGACCAGCACCATAACAGTTCACCAAAAAAAGATGACCACCAGCAGGATTCAAAAGCTAAAACACCACCGGGAATGTCGAGAATTTTAGAGGTTGATGCCGACAATTATATGCTGCGCAAAGGTTCCTCTTCGTCCAGTGGTACCAGCAACGGTGTCGTTGTCACCTCAACAACCACCAGCGGGCCGATGTCCTCGGTGGTACCAAATCTCGTGACAACGAGTCCCACCACCGGTAATACCAATAATACAAGCAGCCCCTCAAGTAATATTGTCGCCGATACGATCGTTATCGGAGCCCAATCCGAGCACAGTCAATCGCGCTTTACTTTAAATAACTCCAACAGTAACAGTACCAATAATAATAATAATAATAATATTTGTAATAATACAAATAACAATAATAATAATAGTAATAGCAACAATAATTGGAAATCCAACAATAGCTCCTCATCTTTATACTCCAGTTCGGAATCGGGATCAGGTTCAGGATCAGATGTAACAGGAATAGTAACACCGGATTATAATAATTCAATATCTTCATCAACGAGCACGTGCGAAAACTCGGCATGCGCCTCGTCACCCGGCAACGAGACCGGCCAATCGTTAACGTCCTTCACCGCACAACACCACCCGGAGCAGCCGCATGGAAACGGTGACTTGGAGCAACGTTCCTCGAGGTCGCGGGGCGGCGCCACAGGCGTTCAACGTCGCTCAGCGAGTCAAACGCAAATGAGCAACACTACAGTCGGCAGCTGTGACTCCACTTCTCCCATCTTATCCGCAAACAACACCAACATCACCACTTGTACCATCAGCAGCAGCAGCACCACCACCAGTATCACCATTAATACCAGTTCTAGTACCAGTACCAGTAACAGTACAGTCTCAACTACAACTACTACCAGCAATAGCAAAAGCATCACCACCAGTAATACCGACAATAGCAGTAGCAATTCCTCTTCAGCAGCTCTCCTCACTTCCTCTTGTTACGGCCATCAAGGCAATGGCAAGACACGTCTTCCGGAAAAAATATTCGATACGGTTCTCTTCAACGCCCTGACAGCACAGAATTTATTGCAAAATAATACTAATAGTAATAATAATATTAACAATAAAGCACAATTGACTGATATTCAGTTGATGAAATTTAGTGATAATAATTTGCGTATAAAATCGTCGGAGTGGACGGTGGAGAACGCCGGTAGTGAGCTAAATGTTGATAGTAACAGTATCCAACTACAGCTTAAACAGCAGCATGTATCATGCGCACGACCTCTTTCTTTTCACCGGCACATGTGTTGGTGCACTAACGCTAGTAAAGTCGTCCTGGTTCCAACAAATTCTAGCAATGAGCAACAAACTAATGTCGACAAGGTCGATAGGCTCATTGAACTCCCCGGTGTTGATTCTGGTCAGGTTCTCAAAGTCAAAGAGAGTTTTAATAATTGTGATGAACAGCAGTTGTTAACCCGGAGCAATAATATCGTTAATTACAAAAGTATTAACGGTATTATTTGTAACACAAGAAATAGTTATGGGGTTGTTGATAACAATAATGCTAATAACAAACAGTTTAAAATATTAAATACACATCATCGACACAATAATGTTATTGATAGTAATAAATTTTCAAGTCTCTGTTGTTGTATGTGTGGATCTATTTGTCCTACAGAGTGTCACGCCTGTTTCCACATTGTTTGCAAGGAGTTCAGCGGTCAGCACTTGTGCCAGTGGATCCCGAAGGGTCATGCATTGCCGGGGCAAGTTTACGATGTAGAAAAGGTGAGTTTTTTTTTTTTTAACTTGAATATATTTTTTTTTTTTTAGTCAATACACACAATTTTTATTTTGTCCTTATCTTTATTGCGCTGTCAGTACTTATACTCTTTAAATAAGATTTTGATTATCTTGAGAGAACGTAAATCTCTTAAATACTACGTCTTAGTAATTATAATTACAATTACGTTTATTTTATTTAAGATTTTTTTCTCATTAACATTAATCGCAAGGGTTATCCGATTCGAGGACCTCGTCGCACTAGGGTGTGTAACGTGTCGCAAGCATTGAACCGATTTCCCAGACCGAGGTCATTCTCTTAAGAACAATATATGTAACAAAAATAATTATACATACTCACTTACGTTCTTATTAATACAGATATGTTCAGCAAACAATTGAAATGTTTCAAGTGTATTATATGTATGGAGTATAGTAATCAAACGATGTCATTCACACTCGGTTTTCTGCTCTGAAATTCTTACAGTTTATTTAAAAAAAAAAAAAAAAAAACATGTAGGAAAAAAAAATAATTTTGTTTAAAGCATAGATACATACTCATTTCCTGAATTTATTTACCGTATAAATTATTCAAACACTCGTTGTGTATACACACATTCTCCTTTATTTATGCATATACACGGTTTTGTTAGTCATACATTAATACATTATTATCACACAGACATATACAGATGTATGTTAATTTAAAGACACATTGCGTTTACAATGTCATCTGAAATCATGGAGAGATAGCTCAGTGTTATCAAGTGCACCAAAGTCGTTTTTACATTAACAATAATAAACTCCAGTTTATTTATAATTTAATAATAATATTAATATTTATTGTATACTGTATAAATTGTTGGTGTGAAAACAGTTTTAAAAAATTTTTTTGTGTTTTTTTAACCGTGGATGTTTTAATTTTGTATCATTTAAATTTTAAGTTTATTGCAAAAAAATTTTACAAGTAATTTCAAATTTTAATAAATACTTTTATTTTATTACTCCAAAAAAATTTTTATAAAAGATATTTTCAATGAATAAGTCAAAAAATTATTTTTATAAAAATATTTCATTAATAAACATTTGGTAAGTTTTTTTTTTCTAAAGAAATAGATTATGTGAATTTTTTAATTTTATTTCAATAATTTGTCGACAAAAAAAAAAAAATTTGATATTTGCGATTTATATCATAATTTTTTGAATACTTAATTTCTAACGAAAAAAATGTCTTGTGACTAGAAAATAAAATACTGTAATCACACCAGCCCAGAGTAATTTTTTACAGTGTACATAATATATATATAAATCTCTGGAACGTAAAAAGAAAAAATTTATTTTATACTTTTAATAAAATATAAACCATTTGACATTTATACACGCTTAATGTATTTTTATCGCGGCAATCGTACAGTATACAGTCAACTGATAGATTTGAGTATATAGACTCGGGTATTTATTTACTCAGCCTAAGACCACACACACTTAAATTTTTCTACAAGACTTAACATAACAGATATAATATTAATACACGTATGTGTATATTATAATGTAATAATAGATATCAAAGGCAACGAACGTGGTTTTACTATAAACGATCGTATAGCTTCTAAAGAAATCTTAACTTTTGGTATTTTGGGGTAAAGCGCTTGTGCTTAAGTTCAGCATTTAGTTAACTAAACTTAAGTTTTTACAAAATTCAATTTGCTTCTGTTTAATTTACTGGACCAGAAAATAGCCAGTACAGCGATCGTTTAGTTGTGTTACGAAATGAAATTGAGATTGAATACAGGCATCCAGCAGCAAGTCACCAAGGGAAAAATATAAGAGAACTCAAGCAAGCGAAAGGTGCACAATGTACCGAGTTATAGCTCCGGTGGCTTTTTTTCATTTGCCCCCCGTACTCGGCGCCATCGTCGTTGTCGTCGTCGTCGTCGTCGTCGTCATCGTTCACTTACGTGTAGATGTACATACGTATATCCATGTACAAGTGTTTAAAACACTCTATAAATGTATTTGTAGCTTGAAAACTTTATGGGCTGCCCTAGAAAGCCGTAAAACTGGTGGCATTCTCGTTAAACTCGATGATTTAAGTCCAATTGACATCGTCTTGTATGATTTTATATTTTTTAGTTACAAACAATAAATAGTGCAACGTTACAGTTAACCAAAAATGAAAATCAATTATTTTTTCATCAGAGCACATCAAAGTTTAAAATTGCAGAGAAAAATAGATGAGAAGAGAATTTTTGATGAAACATAAAATATAAAAAAAATGATGCAATATAAATATTTATTAAAAAATCGGTTTTGCGCACGCGTATACCATACTATCGATAATACGTTCTGAATATCGGCAAATGGTTTCTAGTTTACGATATATCGAAATTATTGCACAGGAAAACATTTAATACTTATGAAATTCAAATGAGCTTAACAGCCAGAACTTGAGCGAGCATATTTATATATACAGATATAGGTATATTTATGAATTTTTTAAATATAATTACACGGTGTGTATATTGACGTTAATAAATTAAACGCCGGTAACTTGTTGGCATTAATTTTTTTCTATATACTATTTGCCAATTAGCATTTAACTTATTCGAATGACAGAACTCTATAAATTAAATATCTATCAATATTTATTGTCTTTACGATATCAGACTGTAAATTAACGCTCACACCGACTAACATACCAAAAAATTGCCTTTTTTAATTTTTAATTATATATTAAAATAGATTAGCGGGTAATTAATCATTATTACTAGTTAGCAGTTAACATTAGATACTTGAATTCATTTAAATTTTTAGTATTTAAATTATTAACAGTCTATTAAAAATTATCGAATGCAAATTTAATTTTTTAATTTTAAATTAAATATTTTCAATTGATGGCGTAGATAATTATAATTATATAGTGATCGTTTATTTAATGGTACAATTAGTATAATCCACTATAAGTATGAAACAGAATAAAATTAGTTACCGGCCGTTAGGAGCTATTAAAAAAGCATTAAAGACTTTTTATCTGTGAGTCATTTTTACACCAATTATTAGTAATCATTTTTTTACACTTGGAAAATTAATTTTTTCTTATCATTAAAAGTACCTGTTATTACTATTTAAGTATTTATTTTGATATAATTCAATAAAATAAGTTAAGTGAATTTTTTATTTTGAATAGTATCATCACAAATAGTACAGAATGATTAATGAGTAACTAAGACGCGCTGACAGTAAATTTCATTTCTGTCTACTGGACGTCTCTATAAATTATCCTTGAGAAGTACATTAGTAACACCGAATGTACAAATCAAGAGATTATTTAGATGACTAATAGATAACATTTTAGAGAAAAATAAAACAACTGTCCTTAAGATTAATTTAAGGAGTATGAATGATTAAGAATTTTCAGTAAACATTTTATATTTTTAGTAAATTATCAAGAATAAATAATAATAAATTTTTAAACTATTTGTGATTTACTTTTTAATTAAATAATTATTAAACTTTTAAAATTATAATTTATTAATTACTGTTTGTTTTAAAATTTGATTTGTGATTTATTGAATTTAAAAAAAAAATTATATATAATTTTTAAAATTTAAATATTGATTAAATTCAACTTTATATAATAGTTAAGATTAAAAATTGAAATTATAAATTTTTTCATAAATTAACAGCATTAAAAAATTGGCAATCTTAAAAACAGATAAAAAAATTTTCAAGTTATTTAACTTGATCAAAAATAAAAACCTTTAACTGAATAAAAAAAAAAAAAGGACGTTTCACAACAGTTTGAGTTGGCTCGGAATAGCCCAGATATGAAATAAGTAAAAGAAAAGGATGATTTATAAGTGACCTATACGGAGCATATCTAAATCCATCCACCAATTTGTTTAAAATCCATTAATATTTTAATAACTTACTCATTATTTATAAACATAAATCAATAATTTTATCTGGTGTGTATCACTGTAGATATTTAAAAAGCAAATTTACTTTGAGAATGAAAAGTAGGTGGTACCTTTCGTTGAAAGACACGAAAGACACGCCTGTGAACAAGAGCTCATCAATTAATAGCATTGATTCCAATTGAGGCATTCGTTCATTTTATTTCATTTCATTTCTTTTCATTTAATTTCATCCCATCTCATCTCTCATTTTATTTTCTCTCTTTCATTTATTGCCACTGCCTGAACCGCTCTTTCTGCTTCTGCTTCTGCTTCTGATGATGGCTTATTGAGCCAGATCAAAGTAATGTAAAATTACAACTTTAATTTGCGGGTCCCTAGCATCATCTAATTGACTTAATATTTTTTCTTCATAATTAAAGGCGAAATGAGCTTTCAGTTTTTATAAAATAAAATAAAACAAGCCGAATACTAATAAAAATAAAAATAAAAATTAATACAGTAATTTGGCAGTAGTTAACCAACACATAACCATAAAAATTGTATTACCTACCGATGTACTTACGTTATAAGATTTTGCGATTGCTTTATCATTTGGTTCAGTTGGACAAATGTTCTCTCAGAGATTCTGCAAACCACTAAAGAAAACTAAAACTGTAAATAAAAAAAAGAAGATAATAATTATAATGATGATGATAAAGAAGAAAAAGAAGAAGAAGAAGAAGAAGAAGAAGAAAGAGTCAGAGTTAAAGTAGGCGGAGACCTTCGCTATAGACTCGATGTTGAGCTACTGATGTTACTTGTCTTTATAGATTTTTTTGTCTATTTCTCCTCTGTATTAAACATTCACCAGAGTTGAAGAGTAGAGAGGTAGTTTCAGACTAAACCAGTTGACTGATAACCCGTTCAGTTTGTGGACTGCTAAAAAAAGTATCGTAAAAAAGTGATTGAGGCTCAGCAAAAAAGTACAAAGCAGAAGAATAAGAAGAAGAGGAGACAAATGATGTAGATATAGACGCTTGTACTGGATATATACACACAGTCAAGTGGTCAATTTTGAATTTATTCTGTTTATTGCTTAAAGATAAATAAAGTTATTTCTTCTTCGTACTAGTTGTTCGCACCAAGTTTAAGCTAATCCTCATTAACTGTTCATCACCGGTGCCAGTTGGCAATTTCCTTAAAGTTATTCGCCGACCTTTAATTCATTATCCCTAGTTGACCTGTACTGGCAATCTACCAAATTTAAATAAGGGTTCGGATTAATACAAGGAGCATTGCTCTCAGTGGGCATAGTTGTTATCTCACCATAGTCCTGTTATGTTGTGTAGTTTAATATTTATTTTCGATTTATTACTAAACTTTCACTTTCAGTCGTTAATTTTATTTTGCAAAGTGAGATATTATTTATACGAAAAAAAAAAAAAAAAAAAAAAAAAAAAAAAAAAATACAGGTGAATAAATTTAATAATTTACTTATACTGTCGCTTTTTGTTTCATAAGTAATATACACAAGAAGTTGAAAATCACGTTCGTTTGACGCCCAGTTTGTACCGCAAATGACAGTTTAACGAGTCAAGGTTTCCAAGTTAATATCGGATAAGCTAATTGATTTTGCGCGGTCTGTTAAACTGATTGATAGCACCAGCCTCTTTTGATCCCAACACTATACACTATTTTTTTTCCTTAATTATGTACATACGTATTTGTTTTATTTCAATATAAATCTAATGTATTAATGTATATATTTATATTAATTACAGCCCGTCAACGAATGGACATCGCTGAATGTCGTTGAATGGATGTCGGCCCTAAATCTGTACCGCTATGCAGACGTCTTCAAGTCTAAGGACATCAAAGGCGCCGATCTTATTCATTTGGATCGGGATAAGCTGATGGTGAGCTTAATTATTTATACTTAAATAAATAAAATAAATTAATCCAGTTAAACTTGTATCTCGTATTTTACTTATCTAACTAATAAAACTTGCAAGTTGTTTTTTTTTTTTTTTCTATTTTTCGCTGTAGCTATTTTATGGTGTATTTTTTCTTGGGTTGTTTCTAATCGTTTTGTGAAAAAAAATGTACAAGGGTGGCAGTCACCGTCGAAGCATTAAACTTGCGAAGCGAAAGGTCGAGCGATAAAGACGGCAAGCGGTTTTCTGTGGATCGTTATTAGCTCAGTTTTACGATCATTCGCTCGCTCTGGTACTCGGATATCCCCGTTTGGTTCTCTCTTTACTACTCTCGACCTGGACCGTTATGTTCTCTACTACGTTATACCACTACGGGTTAGTCTTCTCTTTTGCTACAGTAGTTTTCGAGATAAAGCAATAAAATAAACAACCAAAGAGCCAACTAACGATTCAGATATATAAAACTAAATATTCTATTCTATTGGCTTTAATACTTACACACATCTACATTCACATCCTATCCATACACATGCTCATCATATAATAATCAAATCAGTATCGAGATTTTTAATGCCTCTTGAAGGTTCTCAAGATTATTTTTTTTTTTTTTTTTAATATTATTCAAATTACTCGCTTACACTTAATCAATTGAAGGTATCATAGGCTATTAAATTCACAACTTTAAATAATAATAATTTTTATGTTTTAGTACATCAATGGAAAATTTTATTCAAGTAATTAGCAATAAAAATTTGTGAAATTAAGGATAATTGGAATGAAACTTTTAAAAGGATTAATTGTAGGTTCAGAGCTTATCAAAAACTCGTATAAAGAAAAGAAAGTGAGGCGACAAAAATGCAAGGCGCCACGATTTTTATTTAAAATTTTTTTCATCATCATCATCATCATCATCATCATCATCATCACTGTTAATCCGTATTAACATACTAATCGACTCGTAAATTATGCTCAACTCGTGTCCTTTCTGTCCGTGAAAACGGCCTCTATCTCTCCTCTTAACTCGTGTAACCCCACCGTGATCTTGGAGAAGTAACTCCCACTACTACACACCCAACAACTACTACACAAAGAAAAATAAAAACGAACAAGAAGAATAACCATCTTTGTCTTGTCTGAGTATCTAAGAGTCTTCTCTCGTACTCATCTCCTATCCCGCAACTCTCGATACATTGCGCTTATCTTTTAAACTTCTTCGCCACTACCTTTCCCTTCTTCACCTCCTAAACCTCCTACACCTCCCTCCTGGCCTCTATCAAGCTCGAGCTCTCTCTTTTATTTTTCTTCTCTTGCTTTTCAGCCTTGTCGACATTATCTTTGTCTTTACTTCTATTCGGTTCTCTATCACTCGCCTGTGACTTGATTTTGGCTCACGAGTACACTCTGAAACAAATGTCACGTTTCGTTGACCACGTACCTCGTGTCATATTCTACAAGTCTACGGTTGATTAAACTTTTATCATGAATATGGATTTTTATTTTTTATTTTTATTTTTATTTTTATTTTTATTTATATTTATTAGGGTCGTCGTATAAATTAAATGTTTGCAGACGTAATACAAAAAGCATCTTTTTGGTTAAAAATTAATCAATTTTTTTATTCTACTTTATTAAACAAATCGTATAAAAATGTATCACTAAATTAAATTTTAATTTTTTGGAAATATTTCAAAAATTTTAATATTTATAGCATTTGATGAGATCAGAATGAAAATTAAAAAAATTAATTAATTTTTTTTTTTAAATGAATATTTTACCTAATAAGGGTATTAAAAAAATATGCAATCATTTTTAAATATTTAATATTTAATATTAATATCTAAATTTTTGTTTCTTATTTAAATTTCAGAATATGGGAATAAAAGATGAATTCCATCAAAAAAATATATTGGTGTGCATTGAAGAGTTGTGTCGGCCATCTTCATTGCCAGCATTACCAGCATCCGCAGCCGATAACAGTACCAACAAATCCCAGCAGCTGACAATCAATAATGATATAACATCAACTAATAATAGTAATACTGGTAGTGATCATCCATCACTATCACTATCATCAACCTCTTTATCTTCATCATCATCATCATCAATTGCCCTTGCTGCAGCAACCACCAACAATGCAGTTAATAATCAGAAGCATAATCTAATACCACATAGTTTTAGTGTATTAGAGAGGTGCGACAAGTGCCACAAATATCTTCGGGGTCTTTTGCATCAAGGATTCCTCTGTCAAGGTATTATTATTACCATCACTATTATATTTATTTTATTGGTGTATCAGTATACCGGTATAATCGCAAAGAGCATTATGTTCGTCCAAAAATATTCTGCAGGATGTCAAATTTTATTTATAAATATATTTCTTTTTTTCTTTTTCCTTTTATATATATATATAACATGGCCGAATCACAGAACTCACTTGATTATTATATTATTTTTTTCTTACAGATTGTGGTTTGGTCGCCCACAGAACGTGCTCAGCAACGGGTTTGCCCACGGCTTGCATACCATCTGACCAAGAGAGTCGTGCTAACCGATTGGTTTCAGGTGCGCTAAAATTTTTTTTTTACTCCAACTTTATTTTAATGTTACAACTGATAGTTTTTTTTTTTTTTTTATTATTTTATTTAAATTCTCCCACAACGAATCACACCAGTGAGCTAGATTATTTATATCACTTTGTTCCCTCTTGTATTGATGAGATACTCACCTTGATCTCGTGATACGTTGAGTGACAAGGATTTTTCTTCATCGTCCCCCAAATACCATTCAATGGTTATTATGTATAATATCTAGATATATTTATTCTTATTATCTCTCATTATTATTATATTAAAACATAAACCATTATCGTTAATTTTTTTTTTTCTTAAATTAAATTTTATCTGGAAATTATTTTGTGGTAAAAATGTATTTAAACTTTATCAATTATTCAAAAGAAATATTATTACAATTATTATTTTCCGGTAAAAAGTTAACCACGAGCAGATATTAGGTGTATAGTAATCTTTACTTGTTTTACCACCATATAAATTTACACTGATACCAGCAAGTTGTGATTCTCGGTTGTTTGTAGTAAACCACAAAACATCAGTGTGTTTACTGGTTATTATCATCATCAAGCTTTTTTGCAATAAAATATATCGGTTACCGAGATATTTATTGAGAAATTAATATTTTAAAATCACAAAAAATTCTCAAGTAACCTACATTAATATAGAGTCAAAGTATTTGGCAACGTTGCGTAGCGCGCGAGCTTCAGACCATTTAATAAATTACAAACTAATTTATTTATTTACACTGACTGCAAAACTTAAACGTGTTTAAGGTTATATTGTGCAAATGAAAATGTAAACAACCGAAGTACAGCGTTGCCAAATCACGGACAGGTTACTAGCAGCTGATTTGAAAGAGTCAAATAATTTTTGTATTTAAACATTTTTTTTTTTTTTTTTTATTTTTTAAAATTTCAACGATTAATGCCTCATATACTATTTATTATTTAATTTTAGGAATTTTTATGGATTTTTTATTTTAATTTATCGTATATTGACTACTACAATTGTTTTGACTCAACTGGAGCGAAAGGATTTCCTTAAAACAATTTTCGTGATCTTCATAAATATATATTTACAACCGGAAGTTTTAAGCAAATAGATCATGACATACGTATCAAGAATAATGAAAAATTTACTCTAGTTTAATGTAAAAAAATGTTTAATTTAGAAAAAAAAAAAAAAAACAATTGTTTGCTCATTTTATAATCGGGATTAAATTAACCTTTTATTATATTAACTTTAGCCACCTTTTAACATCAACGGCTTCTATTCTCGGAGTTAATAGTGAAAATAGTTGTTAATGTCCCCGGTATTATTGCCGAGTTATTACTTCTTGATTCATAAGTCCTGTGGCATAATAAATTTTGTAAAAACATCACACGTGGTGTATATGAGACTACACGAGAAACTGCTATGCGCATTCATGAGCTTTATGTTGGTTTAATTTTCATCTTTGTGTGTGTGTGTGTGTGTTGGTATAATATAATAATATATAATAGTATAGTGTTGTGTGATGGCGCCAGACCAAAGAGACTACGGACCCGTGCCATTACTTTACTCACTTCATCATCACCATTTATCGTCTTCCTTCGTTGTGTTTCTCGTAATTTAATTTACAGACAATTGTCAAGTTGAGACACACCATTTATTCAACTTATCGGTAACTACAGGAGAGTTTTACGTGGGTGATTATTTATGTATGTGTGTATGTCTTTTATGTGTGGATAAACCAATATTCGATAGAATGAAAAAAATTTTTAAATATAATTATATATCATTTTGTATTATCATACAAAATTATAGTCATTAATAATCTATGGATTAACAAACATCAATGTCTATAAATAATTTTTATTTCAAAATATTACGTCTTCAATTAATTATTTTGAAATCATTGTTATTAATAGGAATTGAAATTAGCTATCATATATTTTATTTTATCTTAATCTCAATTGTTGTAGATACATTTTTTTTAGTCTATGTTTTTTATTATTTACTGTGAAGATATGAAAATTCAAACATTAAAAATTATTATCGGTCTATTTAAAATGATATTACAATTTGTCGTGAATCAATGATTGAAATTTTTATCTTAAAATTTTGATCTTCAAATTTTATAAGGGTGTTAAAACATAAATTATTTCAAAAATAAAAAAATGTAAGCTTGTTGAGAAGTGTAATAAATAAAATACTTTATTATTATGAAAAAAAAAATATTTTAAAAAACGCGAATCAATAGAAACAAATAAAACTTTATGAATGTACAATAGAAGTTGTCTAAAACTTTTTCATTACTATGCTGGTCGAAAGTACGGGGTTCCCGCTGCGATTTCACTGCAGAAAACCTCACATTTATGCCGTGGTTGAGTCGCGCATGCGCTCTATGACGGGGAGCCGAAAAAATGTATTCATGTACTGACAACGAGACACGAGGCGGCAGAAAGTCCGAAAGTCGGTAGTCGCGCTCACTCTATTACTTATGTTAACAAGCCTAACCTTACTTGTGATTGTTATGAATGTATCTGTCTTGTTATGTGTCAATGATTTGAGGTTGAAAACTAAGTTAATTACAGAAAATTAATATTTATTTTAATGAAAATTAAAGTAGCAGATATTTAATAAATTTTAGAATTTTTTAAAGAAATAAATTAGTGCAAAAAAAAATAGAAAAAAAATTGACATGTAGAAATTTTAGAAAATTAAAAATGCAATTTTTTAAAAATCATTTTTTTGAAAAAATTTATTTGATAAAAAAAATTAAAAAATGATTAAGTGACTACTAACTTTAATGTCATTTTATTTTAATGAAATAAGACTTGTTAAATATTTAAATTACGAAAAGAAAAAAAACGAGAAATATTTTTTATTCTGACCGATATTCTCAAATAAATAAATCCATTGTTGAACAAATAATTATTTGAAAAAAATATACAAACAGATTTTTTTCTTAATTTTTTTTCTAGGTATGGATTTTACAATTATTATTTCATTTTTCTGTTTTTTTTTTTTTTTTTTATTCTTAAAATCAGAGTTAATTTATGATACATTCATAACGTTAAATTTATTTAATTAAATTAAGATCTTTTCTCAAAAGAAAGTAGTAATACGATAAATTATATATTAATATCTTTATTGACAGGTGTTTTTGATGCCTGCCCCCCCGACCAGCAGCACTCGCTTCGCTCGTGCCGCAAATGTCGGGGGCAGGCATCAATTTTTTTCAACGCAATTTTTAACGTACTTTCGACCGCATAGCAAGAAAACTAGTATACACTACATGGGCAGAAATTTGAGAGCCCTGAACTGCGTGCCATGATGCCCTCGGCTTCGCCTCGGGCACATGGCGCGCAGTGCAGGAATCTCAACTTTCTGCCCTTGTAGTGTAATATACTATTAAATTATGGTACATTAACTGGTAAAATATTAATGGCTTAACATGAAGTACTATTTTAAAAATTTTTTGTTGTGTAGATTAGTTTTGATTAACAGATCATAAATTTTAATAACATTTAACATGAAATCAACTCTGATTACATAAAACACTATTTAATATCTTTATCTTTACGGAAAATAATATTAAATATTACTTGAATTCTTGAAAAAATTAATTTACATAATTAAATGCGTAATTATTAATTTTATTACATTATATTATATCAGAATATAAATTATAAAAATTATTAGCCATTAATAGATGCTCTTTGTACATTATCAAAGCTTCTATGATTCCGGTTGTATTGAACAAAAAATAATACGTATAAAGTCATTAATTATCAAGTTTTACTTGTGATAAAATACTTCCTAACATACCATAATTTTTATTATAAAATTTAAAATAATTAATTGTATCAAATAGTTTTTGATTATAAATTATAAATAGAGATCTAATCTTATTACATAAATATAAATCTGTATGGATGTATGTATGTTTTAGTAACTAGTATTTAATGAATTATTTTTAGTCGAGTAGGCTGTCATTGATAAGAAAAACGTCAATAAACGTAGCATTAATAATATGACATTTAATTTCATTTATAAAGACACTCTAAATGAGATGATGAGTCACTGAGAGAGAAAGAGGTGTGCTTCTCATTTGTAAGTAAATTTATCGCTGACATCGTTAACGATAGTCACGAACAAAGACAACCGAGACGTTATTCAACAACCACTACTTACACTAATACTAATCAGTAGCATCAAGTTATTTTAAATTCAAACTCAAATTGCACCGCCCGTTTTTATCAATGACGTCTGGTATTGTTTAATAATTGAATTATTGTTATCATCATTATTATTGTTATTTTTAATTTATAGTATTTATTTTTTAATTGCATTATTTTTATTGTTGATTCAAAAAAAAAAAGAAAACTTTAAAAATTAAACATTAAAACCAAGAGCAGACACAATCGTCGCTAAAACCGTGGGTGCTGCAGTAGCAGCTGTAGAAATTAACTTTTTATTATTTTATTATTTTTTTTCCTTCATTCTCTGGTTTATATTATACATATAAAATATATTTATACATATATGCACATATACCCATGTGTTGCTTTTATGAGTCGTGTAATTCATGCTTCTAACAATTGAAGTCGTTATGTCCCACGCGGCGCCATAGACTGCTTCATATCGTTGTTGAATTCGTATATATATATATATATATATATATATATATAAGATCGTTTATAGAACCATAAACGTATAAAACCAACAACTTAAACTAAACGTGCTTTATAAAACATCTGCATGGTTATAGTTACGACCACTACGATTATGAAGTTGACGATGATGATGATGATGATGATGTGTAGTAAGTTGCAGATCGGGGTCACACGATCATCTGCTGCGTTCGAGTGTCTCAATTATTTTGACTGACGTACTGACAAAAAATATACTCCCAAAAAAGTTTTATAAGTTGTCATAATAATTTTGTATAATTATTTTACCCCAAGCTCAGAAAAAGAAAAAAAAACAACTATAAAATTTTTTTAATTAAAATTAACACCAAAATTTAGTGTGTAATCGTATTTGCATTATCGGATATAATTATATTATACGGATCGGGACATTGAGTATCAAGTTTTATATTATTTTTAATCATAATCATAATCATAATCGTTGATAGGATTTGGATTAAATTAACATTTTAAAAAGTTCAAAGTTGGTTTAATAAATTCAAACAAAATAAATCTTGAGTTTAAATAGATAGAAAATTAAATCTTAAGCTTTTTATTGAATTTAAAGTTTTTAAAAATAAAATTTTATTACGACATTCCTGGGTTTAAAGTTTTATCGACTTAAAAAACTTTTAAATTTTTATTTTGTTTCTTATAAAGTTATTTTATAAATTTACTATTAAAATTTATTAAATTTAAAATAAACGGATAATAAACTACCAAGCATTCGGGTAAAGTATTTTTAAAAAACAATAGATATTAAAATAGTTATCGTTACTCAATAAATAGTATAGATTTTAAATACTATATATTTTATTGAGGCATTAATTTAACAATATCATTTTATCTTTTTATAAAAGAAACTGTTATTTTATCTTTATGACCTATTTTATAGATTTTAACTACAGAAGCTCTTTAATACTTGTAATGTTATACTTTATTTTATTATTATTTTAATAAAAAGAATATATATACTAAACTTTTTTTTTTTTTTTTAAATACATACAATGGTTTATGAATAAACATACATTGATGATTAATTTTAAAATGACTCATGTGTTTTATTTATTTTTTCAGTTTTTGGCCTTGCATTATGCTCTCAATTTGACACGAAGGTACGATCGGCGCCGATACTCGTCGAAAGATGCACTCGAGTTCTTGAAGAAAGGGCTTTCAATGATTTATCATTAGATTTATATAAAGTTTATTACAACAGTCCGCCTAATGAACAAACCTTAGAATTACGTCAAAAGCTCAATCAAGGTATGTCAACAATTATATTGTAAATTACCATACTCTGAATATTTATTTAAAATTATATTTTATTTTATTTATTTTTAAATTGAAAATTATAGATTCTTTATCATTTTGGAATAAATAAGTCAAGATTTTTAATATTGTAGATTTTATAATAATAATAATATTAATAATAATTTATTTGGTAGACAGTATTTTTTATTTCATTTTATTTTTCAATTCCGGTATAATCTATAGAGGTGCAAAGCGCCTGTACATAGAACCAGAATAATAAACAAAAGATAATTTATAAATTACAAAATTATCAATAATACAGTGCATAAGGTTACAAAGGAAAAAATAAACTTATCTCATAAGTGACTTGTCGGTCTTAGAGAATAATCAATATTTCAACTTCCTCTGAAGTAAATTCTGTATGCAATTTAGTGTTGTGGGTTAGGGCATTTATAATTCAATTATCCGCAGAGCAGTTATATTATTAAATGAAGCTACAAGATAGATAAAATGATTTTGATGTATGACCTCGAATATTGAATTACAAAATTTTTCAAAAATATTGAAAACTGGTAGTTGGCAAGATTATTTTAAAAAAATGTATTGATTCAAAAATAAAATTACACTGACATTTTTTTATTTTATTCTTTCATTATAATTGCGGTACTTAGTCGGATAATAGAAGCCCAAGTGCTTTACTGTAAAACACCTTTTGTATATTTGAGTATTTGAAAGGAAGTAAAATGTTTAGGTGTTTTAAATTAAAATACTTTAGTTTAACTATTGCAATTAGCAGCAACTAGACTTTACAACATTCCTTGTAAACGTTTAAGTCTTTTGCTCGTTTAAGGTGTTATAAATTTTATAAGGAGTCACTTTTATAAGAAGTTCTATTTCTGGAATTGTTCGACTAGTACGTAGTTCTTTTACGGTCAATTTTTTTTTTTTTTTTAGTTTATAGAAAATTAAAGATTTTTATTTATGTAAATTTTTTCTTATTTTACTTAATTAAACTTATTATTTATTATTATCGAATTAATTATCTTAGTATAAGTAACTATTAATATTCGCCTAATAGATAGTAAAAATTTTAAATTAAAATAAATTTATATTCTGAGTTTTTAATTTTTAATGAGATTGTACTATAAATAAAATTATAATAAAAATAACATTTTACTAATTATATATTTTTTTTTAGATGTCTGCAATACTGATTTGAGTTCCTACAGCCTTCAATGTATCGCCAGTGTGTTGAAAAAATTTTTACGGGAATTACCCGACCCTGTGATACCAGTTCAATGGTACGATAGATTTTTAGAAGTCTCAGGTGTGTAAAAAAATAATTAATTTTTATTCAATAGTAAGAAAGTAAGAAAAAATAATAATAAATATTAAAATTTATAATAACAGGTCTGAAAAATGATGAACAATGTGCAGTGAGGCTAAATCAATTAGTAACAGAATTACCGGAGCATCATAGAAGTACATTGTACTATTTAATGGCTCATTTTTGTCGAATTTGTAAATTGCAACATACGCGAGGGTTCACGGAACCGCCGACAATTCTTGTACAAGTATTGTGTCATATATTCCTGAGGCCTCCTTGGGAACGCATTATGTAAGTAACGTTTGTAATTGGTAATTTTAAAACTTTGTATTGATCAGGTGATTTTTTATTTGAATACGATACCAATATATAAATAATATATTATCATTATTCTATTAATGTATACAATGTTTACTTTATTAACCAATTGTATTGTTATTGTTATTATTATTACTTTACAGACAAGTAGTACATAATACTGAGGCACATATACGTATAATGGAATTGTTATTATTGCACGGTAATTGGGGTGAGAGGTTACCAGAGTTTGCAAATCCTCCACGTTTACCACCACGTAAAGTTTCGAGGCCACAGTTTCCAGTACTTGAACAATTTAATACTATGGATGATGATAATGTTATAAGTGATCGTCAAATTTGTATTGATAATAAAGAACATCAAACTCACAGGTTAATATTGAAGAATATATTTTTCATTTTATATTATTTCTTATTAGGTAAAAGACTCCATTAGTGACACCTCTAAGCCCCTATTAGTGGCACTTTTTCTTTCAATAAAAAAATATTCTACTTGGAATAAAAATTAAAAATTTTTTTGCTCTAAAGGTCTTAAAGATTGAGTCCAAAAAAAAAAAAAAAAAACAGAATATCAGCTCTCATTAACAGATATCACACTGACATAAATTTTTTCGATGGTTCCTATAAAACATTCTTAGCTAAATTAAAAGAAATCTTGTAATTTCAAAACGTTGCAATACTTTCTCCTTTGTAGATTAGTCTTGTTTTTTTTTTATAATTCTATTTTATATTAAATACTCTCAAAAATTTTTTTGTATTACCAATATTTACAAAGTTGATTGGCGTTTAAATAAATAAATAAATTAGAAATAATATATCTATAATAGAAATTAATGATTTCATTAATTGAATAAGTACCAAAATCAAAGAAAGTGTCAGTAATGGGATCTCCGCCACTAATGGGGTCTTTTACCCTATACGATTTTAAATATGATAAACTGAAGTATATCTTCTTGAGAAAAAAAAAAAAAAAAAAAAAAAAACTTTTTAAGTTGCTTTTTATCAATTTGTAATTTTGTTAAATTTAAAATTTAAAGCTGCTCCTTTCATTATGATATTCAATCTCATAAATTATTTATTCATTTGTATTTTTATAGGCCACGAACTCTCCAAGATGCTGAATGGTATTGGGGCGACATAACGAGAGATGATGTTAATGAAATGATGATTGATGCACCAGATGGTACATTTTTAGTACGTAATGCGTCTTCCAAAGGCGGAGAGTATACATTGACATTACGAAAAGGCAGTACAAACAAATTGATTAAAATTTGTCACCGTAACGGCAAATATGGTTTTTCCGAGCCGTACAACTTTCATTCGGTAATCGAATTGGTTGATTATTATCGCAACTGCTCACTTGCACAGTATAATTCAACTTTAGATATCAAATTACTCTACCCAGTCTCGAGATTCCAACAGGTATTTTTAAATAAAATAAATAAATAAATAAATAAGTCAATTAAAAAACTCATAGATAATTATTAATTCTTGTGCAAACAATTATTTAGGACGATGAAATAACAAGTACTACTAAAGATATGCCAGATGTTATTAAAAAGTTAATTGATCTGAACAAAAAAGCCGAAGTCCAAACTAAAAAATATCAAGAATACGCATCCGAGTATCACAAGACAGCGTATGAGGTTCAAATGAAACGTCAGGGACTGGAAGCATTCTGTGAAGCTATGAAATTATTGGAAGAACAGAGTAAACTTCAAGACAAGTATCAAGAAGAAGCGCAGCCACACGAGATATCTCCGTAAGTTTATTATATTTGATGTGATAAATAAAATTAAAACTCTGTCAAAGGATTAACAGGTTTTTTTTTTTCATTATCATAATCCTATTGATAATGAATCATTTTTTTTGTTACCGTAGATTGAATGATAATGGTGAATTACTGAGAAACAGATTGAAATCATTGGAAGATAGTCGTGACCAGCTTGAAGAGAGTTTAAGAACTCTAGTAACTTACAATCGTTCTCTTGAGCGTGAAATGCATAAACTAAAACCAGATCTTATAGAGCTTACAAGAAGTCAAGATAAATATTCTCTGTATGTATTTTTATTTTTAAATATTTATTTTTAATGATTGCTGAGTGCTAATTTAATTTTTTTTTAGGTGGCTGAGGAATCACGGAATGAAACAGTCGAGGATCGATCAATTGACATCAAATCATGCGCTATCAAATCAATTTGGTGGAGATTCGGTGCTAGGTGACTTGCAAGAGGTTGATTTAGTGCACTATAATGAAGCGACGTGGCTTTATCTTGAAGGTTCAAGAACAGATGCTGATATATTATTGTCTGGACGACCTAATGGAACTTTTCTTGTGCGTAAATCAAGAACTGGACAGTACGCTCTTTCAATTATGTAAGTATTTTATTACAATTTTTTATTATTCAATATGGCTATTATTGAAATAATAAAATAAATTTTTTTTTTAAATATCGCGTTGCTAAAGTCAAAAGAGCGTATCTTAAAATATACTACCTTTTGGCTTTGCAGAATCAGAAGGAAGTACAAAAAAATTTTTTTTCTTCAATCAACTACGGAATGTAAAAAAGTAAAAATCTTGTTGAAAAACACAAAAAAATTTTTTTTCGACATACGCCCTTTTGACTTTGAAAAAAAAATTTTTTATATGAAAAAATAGTCAAAGTAGTTTCTAAGGATCTTAAAGAAGTTCGAGTGAATCTAATGTAAAAAATAATTTCCAATTTTGAGATTTGAAATTAAGTATACGCATAAATAAATACGTCATTTATCTTATCCCAAAATTTTAAAAAGATTCACCATTAAATTACTTAGATATTAAATTTAAAAAATCACATATTTTATCTCCTTATACACGGGCACTTATGGCGGACAAATTTTTGTCGAGACTTTAATTATTTTTTTCAATATTAACCTCCCAACTTTAACGGATAAAAAACTATACACAAAAAACTTGGATTATTGCAAAATATAAAAACAATTTAATAATAATATATTACCGATATAATTTTTGAAATATTTAAAGTTAAATTTTATGTTTGTAACTCGTTTATCGTCAGCTATTTATTCGAATAAAGATTTTACAACGTCGAGATCTAAAGAATTGATTTTTGAAAATTGATCTGAAAAAACTAACAAATTCCAATTTCTTAAAATTTTTAAAGTTTTGTATTTTGTGAAAATTAACAGAAAAAAATTAAAATAAAATTTTTAATTTCTAACATAAATTGACAATTTAAAAAAATTCAGCTGTGACAGTATTTTCAGTTCAATTTTCAAAACTCATTTTTTCATTAGATCTCGACGTTGGGAGGTTCTTAGACTCTACTTCGACTATTTTTTCATATATGCCCTTTTGGCTTTAAAATTTTCTTTCTTAGTCAAAAAGGCGTACCTATGTCAAAAAAAAATGTTTTGATAAACGCCTTTTTGACTTTAGTAACGTAATATTATTTCATCAGTGGCTGTTATTGAATAACTAAAAATTGAATGGTTTTGATAACTAATATATTATTTAATTGTTTTAGGTGTAATGGTACGGTAAATCATTGTATTATATATGCAACAGAAAGAGGGTACGGTTTTGCAGAGCCATACAATATTCACAATACGCTAAAAGATTTAGTGCTGCATTACGCGACAAATTCTCTTGAAGAGCACAACGAAAGTCTCAACACAACTTTGATGTACCCAGCATTAGCGCCTCTGCCGAGTCTAGGTCATCGGCAAACCCAGCAAATAATTTCGCAAAATCAAAATCACTTAGATATGGTCAACAGTCTGCGTATGGGCGGTTGATCGCTCTAAATAACGCTCCTCGTGATTTAAAATATGTATTAATACCTTTTTTATGACAAAATGGTAAAAATTAATAACTGGTCAAGGTAATAACTTGGTCAAGTCTTTAGCTGTGAGTCCGCGAGGTGTGGATGATGGTTGTGAGATTTGTGATGCTTGGACATTTGTGATGTCAATAAAAAAGAGGTTGGTGAGAGAGAGTAATCAGGGGGGAATATAAAACAAAGGTAATAATAATGATACACTTGAAACTTTTATTTCGTAAATAGTTATTATAATCTTGCCGTTATTGAAGAAGCCACTTGAGAATAGTCTTTCCGATATTAAATTCCCATAAGTTTATTATTATTATTATAAATTATAATAATTAAATGCTAGATGATATAACTTTGATTAACTTTAATCAACAATAAAATCACAACAAATAATAGTTAATGATGAATTAAAATAATAATAATAATAATAATAATAATAATAATAATAATAATAATAATAATAATTAATCACTAGTTATATATATTAGAAATAACAAACTTGAGACATTTTTACTAATTAATTAAATATGTTAATTGATTAACAATACAAGAACAAAAGATATAAAGGTGTAACAGTAAATCGTCATCCCATCGAATTTTCTCCATCGTTATACAACGAATTTTCTTGATTACGAAGGGGAGAATTTAAATCATTAAAATTTATTAATTGATGATTTATTAATACGTAGAAATATAAATGCTGTGCCAGCCCTAAGTTGCGCACCCGACCGAGTACGCAAAACAAAAGGGTTTGTAGAATAACTGTCTGTGATTTTGGATCGATAAGACGAGATGAGGTCTTTTTTTTTGTCAGTAACTTTTTTTGTTATTGCTTAATTATTTTTCAACTTTTTATTTCTTTTCTTATTACTTTCTCTCTCTCTTTCTCTTTCTCTCTCTCTCTCTATAAACCCACTTTATATTATTCTTGTGTTGAGCACAAGATTATAAAAAAATAAATGATAAATAAATAAATCAATAAATAAACGGTCTCTATGAATAAATAATAAAATGTTTTTATTAAACAAAGTACTAAAATAATTTTTTTTTAGTAATTTTATTTTATAAGTAGAAACGCGCAAATATCGAAGAGTAAGAAAGTTTAGAGAATAGAGACTATCTTGTTAATTTAATAACAAGAAAAATCTTTGTATTCACATATTTGAGCAATCTGAAGTATGTAATTAAGTTAAAATGATATAATGAGAACATTTTTTTTTACGTGATAACTCTACTGTCCAGGGAGATAGTAAAATCAATTTATAATTAAATAGAAACTATAAAATTAAATCAGTACGAGCATGAATACGAGTAAGATTCTTCAGAGAGGAATAAAAAAGAACAATGATTATGTATTTATGGATGTGTTGAGCCCTCGAATTTTTTTTTTTTTTTATGTATGTAATTAAACGATAATGAGAGCATTGAATAACGAATGCGTATGAGGGCATGATTATTGTACTCAATTAATTTTTTTTAAATCTCAAGCACTCGTTTTTAATTATCAAATTTTTATAAATAACGTAATGTGAGACTAATTGTTAAAAAAAAGAAAAAAAAAGATTATTAATAAAAAATAATTGTAAGATAGTTTTGATATTACAGATTAGAATATAATTTTATACAAATTTTTTTACTTTGTAACTGTAATTTTTTAACTATCAATATTTTTTACTAACTAAATTATATAATTATTTGTAAAGTTTTATTTATGATTCTGCTTGAGAATTAAAAATATTAATTTTGATGTATAATTTGATCTTGATCGTTAATGGATCATAAATATATAATAATATAAGTTATTATTATTATAAAATTACCAACTTTTAACTCGTGTCTTTAACATCGCTAAGTTATAATCATTCTCAAGATTTGTTGTATTGTCGACAAAGATCTCAAGCTTTGTGATAATTGAGCACACACAGTATATACATTGTAAATTTAAAATTTTATATGTTGAAACGTTTTGTTACTGAGAAATTGTCCGTTTACAGAGCGGTCAGTAAATGTACAAGTGTATCAGCAGCAGGTACGTTTAGAAATTAATTTTCCGTAAAAAAAAATTTTAAACATAATATTGAATTATTATACGTCTATTGTATTAAAACGGATAAAAAAAAAAAAAAAATAATAAACGTAAGTGCGCTTGATTGTTCACAATACCAAAGTCACTGAAGATGGATTATAAAATAAAATTGTAAAGGAGTGAATGAATTTGTTTTTAATTGTAATTATTAAATGAATTTTTAATATTGTTTGTTAACATTTAATTGGAGAATGTTTATCTGAATAACTGATCGAAGAATGACACGAGTTTATTAATAAACGCGGGACGACGAGGATCAAGATTAAATATTAAATATGACAACGGATGATTAAGTAAATTTATAATTTTTATTAAAAATCAGTTGGGAAGATCCGAGTAATTGTAATATATGTAAAATTATTATCAAAGATATTATTAATCTTTTGAAAAGTAGCTATTAAATAGATAATCTTTTTTACGTAAAAAATTATTACGAATTTTATTAATTGATTTAATAATTAAATAAGTAAACTCGATATATTATTTCAAATAATTAGTAATTAATTAATTAATTAAATAGAACAAATTTTTTATGCCGAGCTGGCATTGGTGGTTTGCTGATTCTTGGTCCTCAGACAATTCATCCGCGACAATTGATACAATAACAATACATACCCGACAATTCATCCTTCATACATTAAATACGGTTTTAGTTTATAAGATAAATAATGAACAAGTATTTACCACAATTAATGATGAATTGTCAGAGTATGAATTGTCGAAAGGATGAGTTGTCGGGGATGAATTGTCTGAGGACCAAAACGCGTCACACCGGCATTGGTAGGCGTTGAACTCAATCGGATAGATTTTTTTTTTCTCGATTGATAATTTTTTTTATTTGAGCACAATGTTTTTGCCTCTGCAATATTTTTTATTTCATTGATTTATTAATAAATAATAATGATTATGAGTAATGAGTAATGATAATGATTAAATCACGCATTGGATAAGCTTTAAGAGATGGAATATCAAATGTGTCAGGACTCGTGATATTTTATATATAACCAGAGGCTCTTTAAGGTGCTCTTGTGATGAACAAAAAATAAATTATTATTAATAAATATAGTAAGCAACTAATAATATTTAATGGATTTAAAAAACTAAAAATAATTATAAATATATAAATATATATATATATATACATAAACAATAAAATTAATACTAATACTACGATTAATAATATAAAAATAAAAATATTATTAGATATTAACAATAGTAATGGACGTAAGACGAAAGTAATTATGTAAAATTTGATTATGAGTGCAGTTTGCCGAAGGGCTTTTCAACAATGAAAAAATCCTTCCATTAAATAATATTATAACGGCGAATTCTGGTTTGTAATGATCTCAATTGTCGACGTCGCAATAGAGTCGACACAAAAAAAAAAAAAAAAAAACAAAAAACAAAAAAAAACAAAAAAAAAAAACAAATAAAAGATTAAAAGAATTTAAATAATAATGAATAAAACAATAAAAATTATTTCCTTGCTATCATATATACATATTTTAATGTTTAATATAGATGAGAGTTTTCAAAACATTACGTCACATGTCTCGTCGTCCCATTGTGTGAACAACAGAATGTTAAAAGTATATATATAAACATATGTATATATATACTTACTCAACAATTGTAAAAAGAATTTAAAAAAAAAAAAAGCGAAAAAAATTCTATATATACATGCATATATACATATATATTTACATATATACTATATTTTTACTTACTTTCAACAAAAAAACCTTTAGCCATTTAATTATTTATATATATACATGTAAACACGAATATCTAAACGCGTAGTATCATATTGTCATTGACTATATGCAGGTACGGGATAAATTTATTATTTTTATTGTAAATAACTTTTAAAGATTTTTTTGAATAAATATATTTTGAAGTCAATTATTTCGAATCATATACGTGAATTTTAAGTAAATTATTAAAAAAGTTTTCGATTTTATTTAATTAAATTCCTCAAGTTTTTTTTTAAGTAAATAAACAGCAATTTTTTCCTAATTATACATCTTATGATTTTAAATATAAAGTAAGTTGTATTCACCTAGAACTTCATACGAATAAATCATTCCGTCTTCAGTTTTTATGTCAATTGGCAGTCGACAGGATAACTTGCAAGCGAAAAATTTTTTTAAAATAAAAATTTGTTATTTTCAATAAAATTTAACTTGGTACTAATTCCTTTTTTTAATCCGCTGATAGGTAACAAAATTTCATAAGTTGGAGTAAATAAATTCAGTTTTTCAATTCTTACTATCTTTTCCTCAATTATCAGATCTAAATATGAATTTAATTAACAAGAAATAGTTTTTTTAGTAGATATTGTACATTTTAAAAAGAATTTTTTTTTATTTTTTAGTCAAAAGATGTTTGTGGTAAAAATAATAAAAACACTTCCATAAATTATAATTAACTTGCATTATAAGTGACAAACTTTCATCGAATTTGTAGAGACTGATGTCGAGCATTTTCCACATTCTCCAGTGTATAACAATCTTATGGCAAGTTATCAATTTTATCAGTCATGTTACACATAAATACACAATAACAACTATAATAATAAAAATAAAAATAATAATCATAATAAATAATAGTACATAGTAAAAATAATAATAAAAAATATACTTATATTATTCAACTAAAAATAGTAACCGCTTCATCTCTTTTGAATCTGAAATAAAAAAAAAAAAGAATGTGGAAACATTTTTCTTTATTTTTTTTTGCTCACGGTCGAATATTCAAAAAATTAAAACTTAATATTTTTGCACATACATATGTAACACATGCGAATATTATACGTACATGTCACTCCAGAACAGAGCAACTATCGAAATTACTTTTCTCATGGCGAACATATTTTGCCG